ATGCTTTCAAGTACAATTAATAAACAATCAATGGCTATCTCATATCTGCAGTCAAAAACTTGAGTCCAATTAATGAGGACAACCAATTATTGACAGGAAGCGATGAATTTGCAGTTTCGAGATAGCTACTGTCTGTCTGACTTCATTTATCTCGCGGAGCTGGTCGTGCATCTGATATTCGTTGGGATAGCCGCTTAAAAAAGATATGCTCCGTTCTTCTGTCATCGCTATGAATGGTTTTTTTGAATGTGTTGAATGCGACGGATGAGTTCAATGAATTTATTGTGACGAGAATTTTTTCTCCAATATTGTGTCTGCGATTAAAGAACGTTCGTAAATTTTTACTTGCTATGCGTCAGCTGGCACTATTATATGGTCGTCCAATTAATGAGGACAACCAATTATGGACAGGAAACGCGATGAATTTTTTCTGCGTCGTCCTCATCAGTGATGAAAAATTGTCAAGATTTTCTCATGTCTACAAGAGAGCGCTGCTGTATTCTTTGGAATTTGATTTTCTAAATTTAACATTACGGAATAATTTCGTCATATCAAGGCCTTATCATTAACAGGTATTTGAACTACCGTCATATTCGAACTAATTTCGTCGTCATATCAAGGTAATTTGAACTACCATCATTAACAGTGTAATGATGGTAGTTCAAATTTATTTTTTTGAATATGTAAATCCGAGCCAAGTTTTACCGGAAACGAAAGAAACACTTTTTTTGCAGTTATTTGCTCCTCTTGTCTACAGAGACAAATATATTGTGAAGCGAAACACGAAACAAATTTGAAGCCAGAAACGAAATGAATTGTTGATGAGTGCACAATGTAGGGGTTGTTCAATGCAATTGCAAAATATATCGGCTATCCATGACCACAACATATCATTCATTCGTAATATTCTCATTAGGATTCCGATATTCCATAATATTGGTGTATATGATATGTGGAATTTTTTGATTAATTGAAGTGCCACTGTACACACTAATCAACACCGTCTAGCAATATCAGTGATAAAATAGTGTAATCGTTAACGTCGACAAACAATATCAGTTAAAAGCGACACGCGAAAAACAACGCGCCGGCTATCTTATTACCAAATGCAATAATGAAACGCACGCAGATTGCCCTATATTTTTACCACCTAATCGTAAGCCCCTCACACACTAATCCACTAATCCATCCCCTGGATGAGCATTTCTTTCTATTTGTTTTGAGCATTTCTATCTATTTGCCTTTGTGTTCACCATTTTCACGCAGATAGATGACTCCATACATACATAGACGCCGTTCTTTGCATTCGTTCACAAAGCATTTCAGAAACTGAATGAATATGGTAAAAGCAATTTGAGCAATTTTCCTTGCAGATGCCATAAAATGAGATGGATGTGCATGAAGTTCAATTTCTACTCTTAAAAATTACTGATGATTGAGAGTGAAAAGCATTAGAAGCAAGGTTCACGAAATCGATTCTTCTAAGCGAATTGCTTTGTAAACAGTGATAGCGATCGGCTAGAGCAAATCAATCAATCATTTTCGGCGAATCACTGATTATTGTTAGATAACAGTACAGTGGCACCAGTTGTCAAAATTCGTTTCAATAACTGTCATTCGTTCGTCAATCTTGAAAGATTCCATTTTCTCGTGAAATATTTGGCAAGAGTTACTGCCATCAACGAACACTCGCTTTGTTGTGCTCATCAGACTTGTGGTGAAACAAAGCATATGTATTCAAAAATCAATTATTCCATCTTATTTTGCACGAAAACAAGCATTCCAATTAATAATTTCTGCGCTCTCTCCTTTACGACCTGAACGGAAGAGCACTAATTGAATCTTTACCATTCAAACAGTAATTGAGTTACAGCTCAAATAATAATTACATTAACATCCGACCAATAATTTTTCACTCACTCATAGTCGTAATTATCCTACGGTCGTTCCCTTGAGCGTATCGGATTTTTTCCTCTTGATCTATCAGTTGTCGTGCTGAGTGCTTAGTGCAAGGATTGGCGGAATGAAATTTATTAGTGCATTCTATTTCGAGAAAAAACTTATTATCACATCGATGGAAGTGAATCGTACTGGATACTGTATGCTAATAAAATATTGATATTGTCCTCGTTATCGAGCTAAAGTGATTCTGTTCAAGTTTTTTTGCCTAAGGAGAAAGCGTAGAACTACAAGAATTACTTATTCGACGATCATAATTATGCTCCAATGGCTTGTACGCCTTTGGAACTCCAATGAAAATTTCGAGTGCTTGATGTGACACGTTCCCGTAATGAACGTTATACAAGATTTTGGTAATATTTCAGTGAATACTGCATGTACAGTATTTGTTTCCGTTTTACTTTTCTGGTACCTACTCTAGCGAAAACTACATTTTTAATCAATATACAGAGGAATGCATGTAATCATTCAACTAGCGAAGCAGCGAACCAATGCTCATCATAAATATCCCGATAATGACTGAACTGAAGATTGTTGCTGAATCAGAAATATTACATCAATCGGTTATTGCAATATAATCAACGATCTAATCCCGTTTTGAGCGCTTACTAATAACGAGACAATTCCGAACAAATCACTTACTTCACTTGCAGTCGCTGATCTCATGCGATTACTACAGTGCAGCTCTTGGATCATGCGCTGCTGCGTAGATCATTTGATTAATGCTCTAATTATGTGATCACCACTAATCTCATTACCAATAACTGCTGCATGCCTTAGCTACCTGCATTCCAAATATTTTCATAAGTGCCAATCCGAAAATGAATTTTTCATCATATAATGCTAGTTCGCAATAATTCATCTCTCATTAAATTCCCAAACTGTGAATAAATCGCAAAGGAACTCGAACATTTATTGGATATTAATTGTTGTTGCATTATACAAGTGGCCGAATCACCGGAACTAACAAGATCACCGACATAAATTTTATTTGTTTAGTAAGTGACACGAGTAGATGACAACTCATGATATGCGTGAGAGAAACGCATTGAAGTGAGCTAGCAAACTCCCTAAACACTGTTAATTGCTCTCTAGGTGAACGTTTACTGCTTGATGTATCGTCTCGGAAATGTTTTTGTTTTTGTTCACATTGTTACCGTGTGATACTTTCGAATCATTTCAAAAACGAATAACTGAAATGATAGTTCAAATGATTCATCAGTGAGTTCAGATGTCAATTGATAATTCAACGTTGATCGAATGCTACGAGGACGCATCACTGGCCGATGGTGGTCGTGTATTTTTTGTGGCCGGAATAGGTACAGTACTATGCTCGGTCGGGGTGCTTTTCAATACCATACTACTGATAGTATTCTCAAGAATGTCATCCACTCGTAGTCATTTGATTTACTTAATGTGCCTTTGTTGCTATGATATTCTCGTCGAAATATCTTATATGGTGCGTTTTATCACCTCTTTTATTTGCTTATCCACACAGTCGTTGGATTGTTTATCATTTGTTATTTATGTGCTGTCAGCACTGAATATTTATGAGCTGAATTTGACATTTCCGAAAACATCTCAGAAAAGGTATTTGAAGCCAGCGCAAAAAGTTATGATCCATCGCAAAAAATTATGATCCACGCAAAAGCAATAAATGTAATGTGAGAATTGCCCATTTGCGTTTATGCGATAATATGCACATTAGATGCAAGTGGTTGGATAGTTGTTAGCGAGTGAAACGGAATTATATGGATAAAGTTCAATTGCACGCTTATTCTCATGAATTGTTTTCGATCGCTCACGAGCATATTCGAGTGTTGTAATTGTGAGAAGGAAGCTAGCGCTTGACGTTGGGTACGATAATGTGGTTCAAGATGGATTTGTCACGCGAATACGAATTAGGATGTAGGACAATCACATTGAAGGAATTCTTCAGTTGGATTCAATTGACAGCGCAGCACAAGTATCACGAATGTGCATATACATCCGCACAATCCAATCAGTTTGGATTACTAACATGAAAATGAACGAAAAAACAAGGATCACCTCACAATTAGAAATGAAGAAATTTTCTGAAGGTTCGCACAGTATCAAAATAATCCAAATTGCAGCTACTCTTCACCGTATCTGTACTATATGATTACTACCATATCTATTTTTTGTACAAACTATGGCATCAATACGCAAAGGTTGTCTCAACATGTGCACAGGTCATCACTGTCATTTCATTTTGCTGTTAGCAATAAAAATTCCGAATGTTGCTGAAGGAAATGACTATGATTGTGAAAATTTTGTTTCTATTTGAAAATGCGTTGGAAATCTGTTGAATGCTGTAGATTAATCTATTAAGATCAAACAGAAACCAGTGAGTACAATCGGATGTCTGGTTTGTACAATAATCTCAGGTTGAACAATCTTGCAGATTCTGATTCCAAACAGTGTCTATATAATAATCGCGGCCTCTGCGGAGCGATTCATCCTATCGCGTGATCAGCAACTTCGACGATTCACGATGAAGCAGAGACTAATAACGATCTGTATAACGCTCTTATTGGCGATTTGCGTTAAGGTTGGTCACTCGGGAATTCGACACTCCTCAACGGCTATTTCGGTTCTTATAACTTGAAGCTGTTATCAACAGCTGAATGGGTACTGGTATATGACGTGATCATTTTAGGCATGGGATGAATTTTTAGTAGAAACGGTGATTTCAAAGAACATCTTATATGATCGTGCAGTATTTACTGATGAAAGATAAGGTTGACGAGAGATGATGTTCCCGAATAAACACATAACTTATAGGGAAGTGTATTCTTCGAAATAATCGTAACCAAAAGTCCGGAATGCGATGGATTTAGAGAATACCATTTAACACAATCCGCTATAACAGCTTCGTAAGTTTCCATCAGACTACGATCTTACTCTATTTCCACTGTCACATGAACCAAGAAATCAAAAACCTTAAGATGATCGTTACTGACCGTTGATAAAAGATATCAGTGCAATTTGATCCCTTTTCAAAATGATTCCTCAGACGGTCATGCAACTGGAATGTTCATTGCTGATAGAAATGTAAAAACACTTCTCGATGTTTCATGCTAAATGAATGTAGCATGGCAATCAGATGCACACTAATAATTGAGATATTCGTAGAGCAGTGGAATGACGCATTGGGAACGATGTGTTGATGGTAACTCCGAGAAAAGCAAATAATTCTAGGTTATGAAGCGTGACCATTTCTCACATAATTGACATCACTGTCTCCGCAATGACGTAGAAGATTTTAGAAAAAAAAGAAGAAAAAACTATACGATATACACGACATTAAGGTGTAAAGCTAGGCTTTAATGGCCAGAAACATTGTTCACACAAAGTATAACATTTGCGGCCACAGAAACAACAGCGAAAAGGCCGTTTCAGTTGTGGTGAATTTAGAGCTTGAAATGCTTAAAAACTAGGCTTCATTAAGAGAGTGCTCGCTTGATTAATAAGCCAATTGTTGAGCCGTAACCAGATTCTAATGGAAAATTTTCGAAGCGATAAGAAAATTTCTCAAAGCGATCTTCGGCAACTTGGCAATGGAGACGTTCTAATTCCAACTTTTCATTATAATTTCACATTTTATCATGCTTCGATCTCTAGCAACAATCTGTCAAACAATCAACCTACTGATATTCTAGACTACTGTTGTAAATTTACACTAGCAACATTTGGATCGACTGAAACGAATTAACTTATTTCCCACTATGTACAATGAAAAATTATGCATTGGTCCACGAACAAATTGTTGGAGTGCTTCGTATTCGTGAATTGAACCCTTAAAGCCTAATAGTAAGATATTCGAGGACATCTATACAATAAATTTGATTTATGTTACCAATAACAACTTAATAATATATAATTTTCATGTGCAGTTGGTTGTATTCAACAGTATGGATGTTTTGGGCACGCAATATCTTCACGGTGTTTTTGCCATTTGCACTCTTGTTATTTTTGAATTGGGCAACCGTGAACAACATGTCACGAGAGAGCTCTGATCATCTGCTCAATGAACCATCAAAGGTACATTTGTGCATTTTGAAAATTTTGAACTTTTTCGTCGAAGCATTGACGCTTCAGTATACAGTAATTGAATTTGTGAATTAACGAATTCATTCAATGTTGACGACATTTTGCTAGGAATATAGAAGGAATAATCGCTT